GGGCCTGGGTCCCTGACCCGCAGGGCCCCAGCCTCCCATGTCTTCCCGGGCCCGGGCTTCCGCTCTTGCTGACCTCGGGGCACGTGGGGAGGTCTCTAAAGGCCCCGGTTCCAAGTTCAGGGCTTCGAGGGGGATCGGAGAAGAAACTATTTGCAAGGCTCAACTAAAACCATTCACGGCTTTCCTACACATAGACTAGTCGTTTTTGTCTCCAAAACCTTCGGCTTTTGTATTTTTTTAATGACACTGTTATCCTTGATTATTGTCTTTTTTTTTGAGTTGTTGGAGAAGCAGGAGATAGTCGTGCCTCATTCTGTTATTGCAAAAATGTAACAATAAACTTCCTCAAAATAAGGTCTTTTCTCCGTGGTGACGCTGTTTACCTAGAAGGACACGTGTAGGTTTTTCCCTGAAACACTCCTCTGTCTGTAGAGAAAGGGTCTTAAAAGATAATGTGTTCTAACCTATGTAATTTATAGAGATGTCTAGTATTCCTGCTCTTGTAACTTTAGTTACTTCTGGGAAAAAGAAAAATAAATCCAAGATCCAAAATCATCTCAAAACACAATGATTAGTTACGGTCATGACCGCCTCACTCGGGCGTCCCGAGGCCAGGCCGACCCGGGCTGGGCGGGATTCCCCTGATGCACGTGCCTAAGGGACAGGGACAATCGGGCAATGGCTCACATTCACGCGTGGCCACGTTAGCCCGGGCCGGAGGGTCTGGTGTGAGGACGACCACCTTCGCCCTCCGGGCGTTCGTTACGGCTGTCCTCCGCATTCAGAGCCCAGAGCCAACAACGCCAATGCTAATTGTACTTCAAGTTTCATTATTTGATAATCGGCTTTTATTTCCAAGACACAACTTCAAAGCCAACCAAAGCGGCTTGTGCACAGAGACGTGTGCGTGTGTGCGCGCAGGGACCTCACATGGTGTGAGTGAGGCCCTGAGTGCCTGTCTGAGAACCCCAGGACCACCTACAGGTGGACGCTTGGCGCGGCCTGAGCCCTGTAACCAGAGGGCGCCAGGGGGACGGGCAGGAGGGTGTTGGTTCCGCGGCCACGACCCCCACGGTTCTGGCTCCAGCCACAGAATGAAGAAACCTCCCGCCGGAGTGATGAGTGATGCCCAGTCGTGGGCACGCTTTGTCACAGGACTGTCCTCCGGAAGGAGGAACCGGGTGCTGTCCAGCGGTCGTGGCCCGGGTAGGCGCCACAGCACCCAGTTACGCGGGAGGGTGGGAGCCCCTCTGCCGAAATGCTGGCTGGGAGCCTGCCGCGTGGTCAGTCACCCGCGGCGGTGGGCCAAGCTCTTTGTGTCCCAGTGTCAACCCTTGTAACCGGGAGGAAGCAGTGATTCTCCGCGCTGGCGCCACGGTCAGAAGCCCCGGCCCAGCCCTCCCCACGGGGCCTGCCCGGCAGGGACCCCATCTGTGCAGAGTCCCGAGCTCCTGGCCATCTCGTGTGCATCCGGGGCTCCGAGCCACCAGACAGATCAGCCGTACCGGAGGCCTTCTCCCGGGCTGCGTCCCGTGTCCCCGTGCGGCTAACCTCGCTGTGACCAGCAGCCCGCCTCTAGAGGAAGCCACGGCAGTGGGCGGGCTGCTCTGGAGAGCGAGGGTGGCCGCGCCTTTCCCCGCGGTGGACAACCTCCCCCGCCCCGCGGCCCGTCTTCTCCACGAGGTACGTCACGTGCGCTCGGCAGCCTCCTTCTGGAACGATCCGTGGGGCTCGCGTGTGTGGTGCCATGTTTCTCTGACTGGGCATCGGGGCTGCCGGTCCCAGTCGGGAGGCGGTGCTGGGTCCGCAGCTTGGGGGTGCCGACGGCCCCCGTGTGAGGCCGTTCCTGAGGCACTGCTGGGCCCTGACGAGAAAGCCATTGGGTCCCCCGAGGAAGGAGCTGTCTCTCGCCGTCTTCTGCTGGGGAAGGACTTCAGGGCTCTCGAAGCTTGGAGACTGGTAAGCTCAGTAGGGTGTGTTAGAACAGGTGGGTGTGATCTCCGCACCTCGCTGTCCCCTCCAGGTGGAAACGTGCTAGAGAAGGTAACAGGTTACTCCCAGGGGCCCTTCTG